CTGTCCCTTCAGCACGACCTATATTTAACTCATGGGCACACTGAATATGAGATGCGAGCTGTCTAATTTTAGTTTACATCACAAGTGTGGTACAGGAGTGAGTCAAATTATAGGCAAGGACCTGTGTACCTGGACCTGCCAGCCTAACATGTAGCACTAGAAAACAAGTGAACACGAGGAGTTAAATGTTTGTCATATAACAACAAAAGAAATGAAAGCAGTGCTAGGAGACATGTCAGGCCATCAAGAGATTAAGTTAATTAGTTAACTTGCAGGTTCTGCTTCGTGTCTTGTGCTATGTGCTACTGCAGGCACTTCCATTAGAGTGCGGTGTGTTCTTATTTGCAGTGTCCATAAACTCTGTTTTTTTGTAAGGACCCAGCAGGGTGGCAGTGTGTGCTTATTAATTTGCTCCGTTGGCTTCCTCACTTTTAGGTAAGCATCCGCTCTATCTCACAGGCAGCTCCCGCACATGGTCGGTGGGCGGCAGCCATCTTGTGGGCCGCCACTCGGCCACTAATCCTCACCAGGGCGGCTGTTTAGGTCCAGGTTGGTGTGCTGGCTAGTGCCCTTGCAGACCGGTATGACACACCCCCCCCCCCGGTCATCCCGGGTCACTGTCGGCGCCAGAGAGTCTCATGTGGTATACTTGTTTGCCCCAGTGACTGGGGGTTGGTGTGGTCGCATGTGTGGTTTTCCAGTCTCGTAAAGCCTCCAATTTACACCGACTTCGGGCCCTGGAGCGGGAGCTCAGACAGAGCACGTCTGATCCCGCCGGCGGTCAGGCCCCGTCCCCGTCTGCACTCAAATTTAAGGGAGCTAAGGGCCATTTCCAGAGCCATCTTGGAATTCCTTCCGATGATCGAAAAATCTTGGATCCTGATCAAAACGGACAACCTAGCGGTTGACTTGTATGTGAACAACTAAGAAGGCACAAGAAGAAGATTGCTCTTGAAGAAACTAGTTCCCTTGGTGAAAAGTGGCCATGAACAGTCTCCAAGGTCTGAAGGCAATCTATCTTCCGGGTTCAGAGAACATTACTGTGGACTTCCTCAGCAGAACAGAAATTCTTCCAGGAGAATGGAGGTTTCACCCGGCAGTCTTCTCATTGATTGCCCATTGGTGGGGCATACCCCAGATCGACCTGATGGCGACTTACCAGAATTGTCAGGTAGAGAATTACTACTCTCTCTGTCCAGACAATCTGGCAATGTGCCAGGATGCTGTCTCCCTTCCTTGGTTATTTGATCTGGGGTATGCCTTCCCTCCCCTACCCATCTAATTAAAGTGGTCTGTGTACAGCGCCCCTCTCCCCTTAAACCTGCAATTTAAAACATTGCAGTTTCAGGTTTATAACATCCCTAAGTGGTTGACTTCATGCATTAAATTACATTGTACATCCTCAGACTTTGCATGAGGACATCCAGCATGTTCAATATATTCATATGAAAGCATTGATTTAATGCTTTCCAATGGAAAAACGTCTATAATGTGCAGGTACCCCATCGGTGTGATGTGAAACAGGGAACTGTGCTCAGGCAGCACTGTACACTGTATTGGTCATGGTGTGTATAGTGTTCTTTTTATGGTGTTTGAATTACAAGTGCAAAGATGACATATCCCAATCATATCCCAGAATGTAAAGAACAATAAAGGAAGTGTAATCTGTAATACATGTAATACAAGTAAATACTAAGTTGAAAAAATATACAATAGAAAGCATGCATGCATTAAGTTATTTATTGTAAATGTATACACTAAGGTTGGATATTTTCTGTAAGTGCATACTTTTACTGTATTTTTTTTTTTTCTCATTTATCATTTTTATTGAATGACATTTGCAACACATAACATGGTACATAATTACAGTCCGCTTTTACAACAACAATTACGGATAACATTCTACATTTCACCCTGTATCCAGCCATACTTCTCACTCAATTAATCCAATAACCAATTAAATATACAAATAATCCGTATGCCAGGTGATGTTCGGTGTGATGCATACAGCTTCAAAGCATGCGGTACATTTTTTAAATATAACTAGGGAGGGGATGGGGTACAGAAGGAAAAAAGGGGGGGGGGGTGGGAAAAGTCCCTGATCACAGCTTCACGCCACAGCCTGCAGTACATTATGAACACCTTCCTTGTGCAATTTGTGAGGTTGATGAGACTATATATTCGCCTGGGCACCTCAACGCCCTGACCCCTTTGGCCCCCTAATGTTTGCGCCTGTGTGCTTCCTTACTGGCCTGCTATGGGGGTTAACCGTTTGGTTCGAGCAGTCGGCTTGTCTTAATTGTCATTCAGTGACTATGTAGCCGTCCAACATACCCATTCTTTATCATACTTTCCTAGGCATCCTTTTAGCTTGCTAGCCATTTTCTCGTATATGCTAATCACATTCATTTTGTTGATAATCACCTCTACCTGAGGAACTTGTTTGCTTTTCCAGTTACCAGCTAAGGCTACTTTTGCTACCGTCAGTATATTCAGAATCACTTTTTTGTGAGGGTGTGTGTCTAGGTCTGGTATAACATGTAATAAGTACTTGTCCGGTCGCAATGGGATGGAGGTGCCAGTCGTACTTGAGATCAGGGTTTGGATTTGTTTCCAGAATCCGTCTAGCAGCGGGCAATTCCAGAACACATGTAACATGGTTCCAGTGTCCGACTCGCATCTCCAGCACAAGTTCGAAGCTCCTGAGTACATACTTGCTAGTCTCTGTGGTACCAGATACCACCTCATAGTTATCTTGCAGTAGGCCTCCCATAGCGAGAGACTACTCGATGCCTGTTTTGTATTTGCCCTTGCAGACTGCCAGTCTGCTTGGGAGATTTGAAATCCCAGGTCCTGCTCCCATTTTGCCATGTATTGTAGTTTATCTGGAGTGTTACCTGTGACCAACGCATTGTAACATAGGGAGAGTGGTTTTACTGCTTTTGTCAGAGATAAGTGGCTTGGTTGGAGTACCGGAGAGTTAGTTCGGGCGACTGTTTGTTTACCATGGGTTAGTATTATGTTTTTGATCCTTAAATAAAGGTACAGATCTCTCGAGTCTAACCCCAGTTCCTCTTTCAATTCAGGGAATGGTTTCACCGCGTCTCCTGACATTAAATCCCTCACTAATCTCGCTCCCTTGTTGAGCCATTTGCCCACCTGTATGCCTGGGGAGTAGGCTGCTAGTGTCGTGATGGGTGCTTCCCTAAATAATCGTACCGGGTCTAGCACCTTCGGACACCATGACTTCCATGCTTTAAGCATAGTGATCGAGCATCTCAGGGTCATGCCGGCAGATGTTCGGGGCAAGGAGCATGTCCACAAGTAATGGACTATATCATGTGCCTCTAGGCATTCATTTTCTAATGACAGCCAAAGCGGTTTACGGGGAAGGGTATGGTTCCTAATGAGTCGCAGTCCCTGTGCCAAGAAAGAGGCCCTATAATACGCAGTTACGTCCGGCATCCCCAGTCCACCTTGGACATAAGGAAGTCCCAGACACCCTTTATTCACTCTCGGGGGTTTCCTCTTCCATATGTGAGCATTGATCGTGCTTTGGAATTGTTTGAGCAGCGCAGTCGGGAGGAATATGGGCAGGGTTCTGAATAGGTATAGGATGTGTGGCAGTGTCATCATTTTAATTAGGTTGATGCGTCCGAGCCATGAGGTATCCATGTTAGCCCACTGTTCGAGGGAGGATTTGATTTTCTTTAGCACGGGGTAGTGATTTTCTTTGGTCACCGTTTGAAGGGATTTGGTGAGGTTTACACCTAAGTATTTTAAGGAATTGGTGCGCCAATCAAAGGGATGTTGTGGCTTTATCCTGTCTAACGTAGGTTTTGGTAGGTTTATGGGTAGAGCTTGCGTTTTGGTTAAGTTGTTTTTATAGTACGATATCTCCCCATAGTCTACCAGCGTTCTCATTAGAGTGGGAAGGGAGGTCTCCGGTTTTGTGACAAACAGTAGTATGTCATCGGCAAACAGAGCCAATTTCTTATCGCCCCCCTGGGTGTGCAGCCCCTTTATATTGGGATCATTTTTTACTATCCTTATTAGTGGTTCCAGACATAGGATAAATATTAGGGGGGAGAGGGGGCATCCTTGCCTGGTGCCATTACTTATGGCGAACCTGTTAGATACAAAGCCCGTGCTAAAAACTTTTGCTGAAGGGTTTTGATACAGTGCCATTATGCTTAATCTAAAGGTTAGTGGGAATCCCATTTTGGTGAGGGTGAGCAACATATACCTCCAGTGTAGGCGATCAAACGCCTTCTCAGCGTCCAGCGCTAGCAAGAGTCCCGCTTGATGCGAGGTGTTCGCCCAGTCAATCAGGTTCAGGAAATGTCTAGTGTTGTCCCCTACTTGACGTCCCTGGACAAAGCCCGCTTGCTCCTCCGAGACAAGGTCAGCTAGGATTGGTTTAATTCTAGAAGCGAGGAGTTTGGCATACAGTTTGGTGTCTGCGTTCAGAAGGGAGATCGGGCGTAGGTTTGCACAGTGTGTGGGGGGTTTATTGGGTTTGGGTAGCGTCACTATATGTGCCTCCAGCATTTCCGTGGGCATAGTCCCTGCATTTTTTATGTGATTAAATAGGTTGGTGAGAGGCGTGAGTAGTTGTTTGGTCAGTTTTATGTAGTAGTAGTTGGATATCCCGTCTGGTCCTGGGGCCTTATGTTTGGGAAGGGATTTGATTGCTGTTTCTACTTCCTCCTCCATGAAGGGGTTCTCTAATTGGGTTCGTTGTGCTTGTGTTAGGCTGGCTAGGGGCGCTCTCTCCAGAAAACGTGCTATCTCGTCTTCCGTCGGTTGGTGTGTGTAGGGATCTTTTTCTAATTGGTATAATGAGGCATAGTATTTCGCTAGTTCGTTCACTATGTCTTGGGGGTTGTATAATTTATCCCCAGTTGTGGAGGTTATATACGGTATTTTAGATTGCAGTTTGGTTTGTTTCGCTTTGTTGGCCAGCATTTTCCCAGCTTTGTTACCCATGATATAGTGTGATTGCTTCAAAAACCTCAAGTGTCGTTCTGTTACAGCGAGGTTTAGGCTATGTAGTGTTGTACGAAGCGACATCAGTCGCTTATGTGTTGCCGTAGTGGGGTTTGTTTTATGGGTGGATTCTACTGTGGCCAGGTCTTTCTCTACCTTGTCCAGTGTTGTGTTGTGCAGCCTCTTTGTCCTAGCCCCTATCTGGATTAATTCTCCCCTCATGACCGCCTTATGGGCCAGCCATTTTGTGGTGTCGGATGACGAGCAGTCAACGTGGTCAGCGAAAAATTCCGCAGCCCGGACCTGTAGTCGTTGAAGATGTGCTGGTACGTCTAATAGACCTTCATTCAGGCGCCATGTGCCTCTACCCCTAGCTGGGTACGGAATTCGCATAGTGACAACGTACGGGGCATGGTCAGACCACGTGATCGGCCCAATATGAGCCTTAATGGCGAGGGGCAATGTTTTGGTGTCGAGTAGACAAAGGTCAATTCTCGTGTAGGTCCTATGGACCGACGAGTAGTACGTGTAGTCCCTCCCACTCGGGTGCAAGCCTCTCCATGTGTCATAGAAGTCATGCCCGTGCAATAATTTCCTAAAGTGTTGGCCTAGTGAGATTGAATGTTGTTGTGGTAATTTGTTCCCCTCACGTTTTATATCGACATCGGGATCTGGAACGCAATTAAAGTCCCCGCATATAATTAAATGGCCCACTCTGAGCTTGTCAATTGTCCTAAACACTGTGCTTAGAAAGGTTTTTTGCTTATCATTCGGCGCATATATGGAAGCTATAGTCACCGATAAACCATTTAAGGAGCCCACTAATATCAGTATTCTCCCGTCTCGACTGGCAAATTGGTTGGATGGTGTGAATGCCCAATCCCTATGGAAATAGATAGCAACTCCTTTAGCTTTAGTGTCTGACATGGCGTGGTATCCTTGGGGATACTGTTTGACAGTGAGTTTGGGGTGTTTCCTAATGCAGAAGTGTGTCTCTTGGAGACCTATAATCGCTGCCTTGGACTTGGTCATTTCCTGTACTGCTAGCCTCCTTTTGTGTGGGCTATTGAGACCCTTAACGTTTAAGGTGAGGATCGCCAAAGAGTCAACCATGATCCAGGTGTAGTGTTATACTATGCTGGGGCCGTGGGATGACATTCGCTGCTTGCGACATGCGGTGTGCTGCTGGTCCGGGACCGAAAGGGAAAACGTAGGGACAGTGGACACAAATACAGGGAGGGAGAAAAAAATAACTAAGGTATGTACAAAGCGCCATATGGAGAACTAGCGCTCTACGTGGGTGAGGTGTGAGCGGGCAGATTTTATCCGTCTCACGTCTCATCCTGGGGATGCACCTGGGTGGTGCAGCCGAGTGCGTTACAGCTTTTCTCTAGGTATACTTATTCCTTCCCCACAAATACGTCTGAGATATCCACCAGGGCCCACCATTTGGTCATAACCAATATCCTCTCCTCCATCTCGCTACCATGTATATGCCATGCTGTCACTAAACCTGTGCAGTATATACTATCTAAGTCGTGATTTCTGTACCCTATACCTCCCATTTGCTGTAGTACCCGTAGATTTGCGTCCCTACCGTCCCTTTGTACCTGCCCTGACTCCCCACCCGCTGGGTTTGACAAGGTTGGTCACCTTGCTACGTAGTGCTTTACTCCTTGGGCAATAGGGACTCACATATATGTATTACATTAAGAGGTTCAGAATGTCATACTCACAATCCAGTTACATTAGCACATCATATAGCGGAGGCTAGCATAGAGTTAGTGTCTCTCAGTGTCCAATTTTATAGTGGGTAGTGGTATGTCCTTGTTGGGTCCCGACTGGAGCCCTATTCTTTTCTTTGTGGCGAGCCCGCCATCTTCCATTCAGCCTGCGGTCCTCTCGGGGATGCTGTAGTCGAAGCGTCTCTCGGTGATAGCGGGAATAGGCCCCATTCTTTTAGTAAGCGCATTCCCACCTCCGGTTCGTTGACGGTATGCGTTTTGGCATTCCTCCATATAAGTAGTTTTGTTGGATAGCCCCATCTGTATTTTATGCCGTTGTTTCTCAGGGACTTCGTCACGTTAATGAATTCTCTGCGTCTGCCCATTGTCATAGCTGACAGGTCTGCGTATAATTGTACATCTGTATACGGGGTGGGCATCACGGTGATTTTCCTCGCCGCCTGCAGAAGATGGTCTTTCGTCTTATAGTAGTGGAAGCGAGCGACCACGTCGCGCGGCGTATCTTTATGCAGATTCTGCGGTTTCGGTAGTCTATAAGCTCGGTCCATGAGCCATTCTGGGTCCGATATCTCCGGCGCCAGCGACTTGCACAGGGAGATAAGGTATTGCGGCAGTTGCTCTCTCGTGACGCTTTCTGGTATGCCACGGAAGCGGATATTATTTCTGCGTGAGCGATCTTCCATGTCCGCTAATTTCCTTTTTAGGAACTGCTGTTCACTCACTAATTGTTGTACTGTGTCTGCCAGGGCGTCTTGCGCTGCGCATATGTCGTCAGTGCGTGTTTCTAAATTGTTTGTTCTTTCCCCCAGATCTGTTATTTCTTTCTTAATATCATTTGTGGCTTTCTTCAGATCAGACTGCAGAATGAGTCTAAAATCCTTTAGCATTGCATACAGCTTTTTTTCTGTGACTGGGGCATCAGTGTATCCTTGCTCCTCAAACTCTGTGGTAGGATTTGAGGCCTGTGAGGGTTCCAGCTCCTCACCGCCGCCATCTTGCGCCGGCCGCAACCGGTCTTTTTTCCCGTGGCGGATCGGGTCCGTCAGCTTTGTTTGTTTTGCCGGGGCCATGGGAGGTGAAGGGGAGATACCTCTCCTGTTTTTCGCCGTCAGCCAGGGGGTAAGAGCTGCTTCTATTCACGCTTTTGCTGTCTCGGACCGGGAGCTCTCACTCCATGCGTCCGTTCACGCCCCCCCTTTTACTGTATTTTAGATGCCATGCTTTATTTTTGTTCTTTACACTTTACAATATTATGGAGTGTTTTCCTTTAGGAGACAGCAAGAGACAGGTTTGTGAAAAAGAAGTTACTCTGGGAGGCCATAAGCTTTTCTGAAGAGATGGGTTTTGATGGACTTGTTAAATGATTGAAGACTAGAGGAGAGCCTTATGGCGGTAGGCCGGCTATTCCAAAGGAAATGAGCTGTCCGAGAGAAGTCTTGCAAATGCAAGTTAGCAGTAAGGGTGCGAGCAGCGGCAGGAGAAGGTCAACGGCAGAGAGAAGAGACCGAGAAGAGGCATACCTATGAATCAGTAAAGAAATAGAACAGGGGCTAGAGTTCTTTAGAGCTTTATGGGTAAGGGTTAGTATTTTGAATTGACTCCTTTAGGGCACAGGAAGCCAATGCAAGGATTGGTACAGGGGCGAGGTGTAAGAGGAGCGAAAGATCAGCCTGGCAGCAGCATCCATTTCCAACTGTAGCAAGGCAGTATGGCTTTTGGGGAGACCAATTAGGAGATTATTACAGCAACTACTGCAAGAAATTACAAGAGCATGAACAATCTCCTGAGCCAAATCTTATGTAAGAAAGGGCCGGACGCAGGCAATCCTGTTAAGTTGGAAAAGACTGACGGTGAGGCCAGGATCAAAGATAGCGAGCTTTCAAGGACGGGCTGATGCGGGTACCATCAACTTACTAATAAACTATTTTTAAAAGCGCAATGAATATTATAAAAAAAATTATATCAATACACCATTCAATTCACTCTTATTCAGTAGTTGCTATTCATAGAAAAAAAAAGCCTTAAAACAAGTTGTTATTACACATAAAATAGCAACAGTTAAGCAAGCGCAAATTGATCCACCCCTTAGAAACTTCACAGAGCTAATGTAAGAGGTACATAACCCCAAGGTTCAAAACATGCAATAGGGAATAGATTTATGCAGTCAAGGAGCATTCATGTACAGTATTTGCAACTCCCCTTAGTAGAAAAAACACTGTCCTGCAGTCCTGTATCAGATATTCAGCAGATGCAAATGTATCGAAGTACTGTACAAAGATACAAAAGAGCTGCACAAATGTACTGTTACATTTATTTCATAAAGTCACACGATAAAAAATTCTTATATTTCGTAGATGTGAATAATTTTTCCAAATAAGCATTTACCTTTAAACTTCCAGCACCTGTTACCACTCCTCCTGTGGGTACCCAGATGTGTTCAGTTGTCCAGGTGGCATCGGAGTATGAAAGGCAGCAGGGTGCCGGTCCAAATCACCGTTCAAATCCAAATAATACCTGGTATTCAGAGTTTGGAACAAGTTCCTCATCAACGTGTTTCACTAGTTAAACCAAGCTTTTTCAAGATAGGTGTTGTGTACAAAATCAATGCTATCAAAGCTATGAAAACATTCCATATTCAATTCAAATGAATCTAAACATTTACATAAAAATTATAATAATTCCCTTACATTTTGTTTGGATACTTATAAGATATGTTAAAACAAGATTATATAGGGGGCGGAGCTTAGCAACTGAGCTGAACAGTCACATGGAGCATAAGCTCCTGCCATTTCAGGCCCAAATCTACTCATTTGGCACAACCAAAAACATAATTTTCTCCACTTCTTGGTGCTGTTGGCGACAGGACAGCAAGATGGGTCACAAGACAAAGAAACCAAGACCAGACAAACTGCGACAGGGACCAAACATTGCCGTGCTCCTGCGGCAGACACATGGGGCAACTGGGCCCAAGATGGCCGCCTACCCAGAGACCTACTCTGAGCTATCGGATGATTTCGCCTCAGGGGAGGAGGCAGCAGACTTACCCCGGTGCAGATACCAGCACCGGTCGCCCAGAAAGCTGATGCTTCGCCGGTGACAACAGCGATTATGAAGTCGCTCCTTGCAGACCTCCAGAAAACCATCCAGGCAGACGTTGCCTCGCTCCGAGCTGACATCCACAGACTTACAGGACGAATCAGAGCCTTGGAGTCTGCTTCAAGCATCTTCACTGGTCAAATAACCTCACTGCAGCAAGCAGTCCAGGGACTTCAACAACAGAATGAGGCATATGAGCGCCGATTTGCAGCACTTGATGACGCGCCGTGACAACAATCTGAAAATCAGGGGCATCCCAGAGGACACCCCAACGGCCAACCTCACTGGGGGCACACTTGCCTGCCAGAGATCGATCAGGCCATTCACTACACTCCTGCGACAACATGGAATACAATACAAATGGCACCTGACCCATACACTACTGATCCTGCACGGAGAAACCAAGCACACTGTGTGTGACCTCCAAGAAGCAGCAGCATTATTACCCACCCTGGGACTACCGGAGGACTCTCTTCTCCCCACTGCGAACAGAGGAGCCGCCAAACCGACTCATCAATGGAACCCAGATAGGGTGGTCCCCTTCGTCCCACGTGGATCCAAGCGAGATCTGACTGTGGCAATAAATACCTGAAGCATGCAGCTACATAGCAACCAGAGACCCTCTGTTCATAAAATTGATATGTAGATTTGGTTTTTAGTTTATCACATAATGCTAATGTGCCTTTTGTACCCCTCTGAATGAATGGTCCATCAACCACATTACTTCTCCCCCCCCCGAACCCAGCTTACTTTGGCCCCACTTTCCATACTGCTAAAGCCAGGTGTAATACTTAATAGCATGGAGTGCATCCCTCCTCTAAGGGAGTGACAACTCGAATTTCACCTATGCGGTAGTACAGCTCAGGATGTACCACATACGTTAATTGTATCTATACATAGGCTTACCCACATCCACACAAGTGTTCACTTTATGACTTTCCTTTTCGTTCTATTGTTTAAGCTTCTTTTGCTTAATACATTATATGTGTCTTAGTTATATGCTTGCTCTCACTATAGGCACTAGACAGCCTTTGTAATTGTTATGGCAAACTAATGATTAATCTGCTTCATTTTATGCCTAGACATTACTATTTTGCCTGTTAGAATGATATGGCAGTACCTACACTTGAAAACCTAAGCATCTATACTTTATCCTTTTAACACATAAGGGCATTTCACACGATGTCAGGATAAACACTCTGAGCGGACTCCTGATATATCACTCATTCTGCTTTCTACAGCATAGCATATGACAAACCTGTTTAAAATTATGCTTACTAACATAAGCCTGAGATTTATCTTGTTTATATTATATTATAAATGTGCAATTCCTTTCTAATACCCCAATAGTAACGTATGATAATAGGCTTGAGGAATGGCATTGGGGTACCTCAAGCTTGTCTGCACTCAGCTTATGCACTGCAAATTTTTTTTAATTTTTTTTAAATTTAAAAAAGGGGAAAAAAATAAAAAAACAAGATTAGATAAACATTTCATCACCAAGGACAAATCAACAAAGTCCAATTTACAATCAAAATCATATATTAAGCGAACATTATAGTGTCAGGAATACAAATTTATTCCTGACACTAGTTGTAAAAACACAGTTTAGCTCCCCTTGTCTGTCTTTAAAAGGTATTAAACTTACCTTTCTTCCAGGGTCAAGCTGAATTAATGCATCTCTATGGGAAGAGTTCACCGTTTCCATGCAGAGAGTGGAGGTGCTGAATGTCCATGCTGTACACTGTGCAGCACTGACCCAGGAAGCACCTCTAGTGGCCATCTTATTGACTGCTACGAGAGGTGTTACTGCATGGGCAGCAGGGCCGCCATCAGGGCATGACAACCGTGACAATTGTCACGGGCCCGGCGGCCCTGGGGGGCCCGGCCGCCCGGGCCCCACGTAGATCAGTGGAACTGCCGCCGGTGCATCTGCACCGGGGCCCACACGCTGATGGGGCCCATCAGGTGGCCCCAATCATTTAGGGCCACCCAATGGGCCCTATTATCTTCAGGGGCCCGTTTAGCGCTGGAATAGCGCGACCGGGCCCCTTTAAAAAAAAAAAAAAATGCAGCCGGAAGCAAGTGCTGCTGGGAGGAAGTGACGTCCGGTCACTTCCTCCCACTTTACTCCGCGCGGGAAGGAGGACGCAGCCTGAGGAGAAGCAGCCGATGCCCATCATCCCCAGCCACCCTCCTGCGACGAAATGGTAAGGAAGAGAGGAGGGTGGCTGGGGATGAAGTGTGTGTATGAATGCCAGTGTATGTGTGTATGAATGCCAGTGTATGTGTGTGTGTATGCCTGTGTATGTATGAATGCCAGTGTATGTGTGTATGAATGCCAGTGTATGTGTGTATGAATGCCAGTGTGTGGATGCCAGTGTATGTGTGTATGTATGTATGCAGTGTATGAATGCCAGTGTATGTGTGTATGTATGCCAGTGCGTGTGTGTATGTATGCCCATGTATGCCAGTGTATGTGTATGTATGCCAGTGTGTGTATGCCATTGTGTATGCCAGTGTGTGTATGCCATTGTGTATGCCAGTGTGTGTATGCCAGTGTATGTGTGTGCCAGTGTATGTGTGTATGTATGCCAGTGTGTATGCCGGTGTATGAATGCCAGTGTATGTGTGTGTATGCCAGTGTGTGTATGCCAGTGTATGTGTGTATGCCAGTGTATGTGTGTATGAATGCTAGTGTATGTGTGTATGTATGCCAGTGTGTGGATGCCAGTGTATGTGTGTATGTATGCCAGTGTATGTGTGTATGTGTATGCCAGTGTGTGTATGCCAGTGCGTGTGTGTATGTATGCCCATGTATGCCAGTGTATGTGTGTGTGTGTATGCGTGTGTGTGTGTATGCCAGTGTGTGTCTGTATGTATGTATGCCTGTCAGTATGTATGTATATATCAATATGCAGTATGTATATGTATGTTTGTCAGTATGTATGTCTGCTTGTATATGTGTGTGTGTCTCAGCATCTCCCTATGCATGTGTGTATGTCTGTTTCAGTATTTGTATCTGTTAGTGTGTGTGTATTCCTGTGGGCGGGATTTGGAGGCAGGTTTGAAGGGGGGCCCAGACCTTGAGCTGTGTTAGGGGCCCCAAAATTTCTGATGGCGGCCCTGATGGGCAGCAATGTAGACTGCTTTTTCTCTGATCCATTGAAGGTTTTAAAGTGATCCCAGTAGGAGGAAGATCTTTGGTTGATTACTTGTGAATGTGATGTAACGTCTTTGAATACGGTCATTACAACATGATTTAGGTCTGTTATCAATCAGACAAACACTTCTTGCTACAAGAATAGCACTGGAGGATTCTCCTGATTTCCCATCATTCAACTAATAGACAACTGAGGAAGTATATATTTCATATATATACATTCACTAAACAATGATTTAAAATCTCACAGATTGTCATAGTTTTATTTAAAAACACCTCACCTAGGCAAAAAATTATGGGGGTTTAGTTACGTTATATGATCATATATTGCATAAGCCTGCCACAACGTCAATGCACCCCATTCTTGGCAGGTCCTACTCTAGCAGCCTAATGCCTGCCCCTGAAGTAGTTCCCAAGTAAGTGGATCAATCTCATAAGGACAAGCATTAGGCTGCTAGAGTAGGACCTGCCAGGAATGGGGTACATTGACGTTGTGGCAGGCTTATGCAATATATGATCATATAATGTAACTAAACCCCCATTATTTTTTGCCTAGGTGAGGTGTTTTTAAATAAAACTATGACAATCTGTGAGATTTGAAATCATTGTTTAGTGAATAAGCGAGTGCTACCAGACAGCCACTAGAGGCCCCTCCAGGTGGTTAGGCAACTTTTGGTCGCCTAACTGATTCTGGATGTCCTCATGCTCAGCATGACGACTTTCAGCGTCATCTAAAATCCCATAGGAAGGCATTGGGCAATGCTTTCCTATGGGGTAGTCCTAGATCCTGCTAGCTAGGTTTTCTTCTCGCATGCGTGTTTGGTCCCCCCTCCCCCCCAGCAGCTAACAGAAGCGGATCCTGAACCAGCGCCAAGGGACATCAGCGCCTGAATCAAGTAAATGACAGAATGGCTTTTAACCCTTCCGGCGCCAGGGGGGGAGGGGAGGTTGGTGGCGAAGGGGGCTAAGGAGGAGTGCATTGTAGATAATTGTAGTGCTAGAAAACCAACTTTGTTTTCCTAGCACTACAGTTTCTCTGTAATGTATCATATTAAAATTGTGCAATTAGAACCTCCACAGCGCCTCCCCTCCCCCACCCCGTCCCCACACCCCATACATTGACAGTGTGCGCAACTGCAGGAGTTTATTGAAGTTCACAGAGTGATAACTCATTATTACCTGTACAGCTGCAAAGCTTTTCTTACACAGATGAAAAATGGATTTTGTAATCTTCTTCTGTGGAAAGGAGGAGGCTGGCTGAGCATTCAATGGAAGTAGAGTTTACACATATCTGCATTTCCATCACTGATCTAAAACCTTACAAAAGCCAGATACAGGGACCGGAAATGAATAAATCAGTTTCAGATAAAATATGCTAGTAAACATGTTAGAGCAGATACTTTATCTCCCTCTCGATCTGCTGCACATCTCTGTTTATTCTGCCAAGAATCTATTTTTCTTCTTTCTGTGTAAATCCAGCGAGAGAAATAAATGCTCTTTTTTGGCTTTCTTTTTGGTATCAATACATTTTCTTTCAAATTCTTCTCTAAAGTTTCAGTTTGGGTTCTTATGATAAACCTGAAATAGATGCAGATTTACTTTACTTTATTTTAGGTGCAGTATTTGTAACACTCTACCTGTGAAAACAAGAGAATACGTCTAAGTGCACCTACTTGTAGCTTCACAAACTTTCTGTCGCAACATTCATGATAACACTGCCACTAAACCACCATTCATGATAACACTGCCACTAAACCACCATTTGTGAAAGCACTGCCACTAAACCACTATTCATGATAACACTGCCACTAAACCACTACTCATGCTAACACTGCCACTAAACCACCATTCATGATAACACTGCCACTAAACCACTATTCATGCTAACACTGCCACTAAACCACCATTCATGATAACACTGCCCCTAAACCACTATTCATGATAACACTGCCACTAAACCACCATTCGTGATAGCACTGCCACTAAACCACCATTCATGATAACACTGCCACTAAACAACCATTCATTATAACACTGCCACTAAACCACTATTCATGCTAACACTGCCACTAAACAACCATTCATTATAACACTGCCACTAAACCACTATTCATGCTAACACTGCCACTAACCCACCATTCATGTTAACACTGACACTAAACCACCATTCGTGATAGTACTGCCACTAAACCACCATTCATGATAGCACTGCCACTAAACCACCATTCATGATAACACTGCCACTAAACCACCACCTGACTTGCTACTTTATTTTTTTTGTGAATATGATTTTTTATTCATTTTGCATGTATTAAGGTTCGATGAGACGTGCAGGTCTCCATTGCATGGTATGACAAAAGATAACAAGTCGGGCTCACAGGCCCCCATCATAGAAGGACTCGCAGGTCCCCATTTTCTGGTGTTACGCTTGTTCGGGAATATAATGCGTCGGGGTGGGAAGAAAGGGGGGTGGTTCCGTTCAGTTCATCTGTCGGCCATCTAGCGTCGTCTGAGGTGTGTGTTCTGAGTTCTATCTGTCTGTGTCGTGGTGTCCGTCAGTGTTAGGTCTGAGTTCTAATTGGAATTCTTCTTTTGCCGTCTCTAGAATCCAGTGCGTCCAAATGCTCATGTAGGTAGTGGATGTAGTATTGGCCGTCATGGTCAGTTCCTCTATCGTCCTGAGTTCCTCCATTTGGCTAAACCAGGTCGAAAGTGGGGGTGTCACTGTTTGTTTCCAGAATTGAGGGAGCACTCGTTTGGCCACGTTAAGTATTCTAATAGTCATGGATTTTTTGTATCTAGAGCGGGGAACTGTTGTGTGGTGTAGGAGCATCGCTGCCGGTTCTGGGGGGGGGCACATCCGTGAATTTCTCTAGCATTTTGTGTATCCTCTTCCAGTACGGTTGGATCAATGCGCAATCCCACCAAATGTGTTTTGTGGTGCCTACCTCTCGTTCACATCTCCAGCAGAGTCTGGAGTGGTCTGGGTTTACGACTTGCTACTTTAAAAGGAATGCACCATTGAATAAAACACTGAAATTTACCTATAACTTTTTTCTTCTTCTTCTAAATTTAAGTTAAACATTTTGCAATTGGCATTGCAATCCAGTTCTGTCTGACACAGCACATAGTGTTTTTTTTTTTCTCTTCCACTTACCATTTTTATGCAATTTGGGTGTTTTGGGTCCTTCTCAGTGTTCTGCCATTAAAACAACACACAAAAAGCTTTCATGCTTTTTTAAATGTCCATTTTGATTAAAACCCTTTAAAACTAAAGTCATCTTTAAAAAATTGTTACATAGACTGAAGAGAGACATGTGTCCATCACGTTCAGCCTTTCAATAACTATAATTTCACGACTGAAACATTTATAATATCTTGAATCTTTAAAAAAAAGAAAAGTGAATACACCTAAAGAAGAGATTGCAGAATGCTGGGGTAAGTGCAAAAACAGAGATAAATAAAGAAATAGATATAAATCAATATAAAGATTTAGAAGTAAAATTAGAGATAAAGAATAAAATTTTAAATAAAAAAAATAAATAAAATTTAAATAAATAAATATCGAAAGGAAATAAATCTATGTAGAAATATAGATGAAAGCAACAGTGAAAATAAGAGTATAGAACAAGAGAGAAATCAGGTGAAATGTATAAGAGACTGTGAAAATGCTGGTATGGATACAGTTGAATAAGGACTCAGGCTGAAACAGGTGAAATAAGAGAATATGAACAGAGAACAGCACAAACAGTTAAAATAGATGTAGCAGCATAGATAAGACTCAAAGAAAATGTAGCTTTAAAATAGATAAAATAGATAAGTAGAAGAAAAAGGTACAATACTGGGTGGTGAATCAAATAGTATTGACAACAGTATTAAGGGCAGAAACATAAATGCCTGACCATAACACCATAACATGCAATAATAATCAACAAAATGAGAATTAACACAAAAAAGCACAGTGATATATGCAGTGGAACAATGTGCATACGAATCTGTCCAATATGGGATTTAGCAGCAAAAATAAACAAAATAAACAGAGTGCAATAGCAGCAGAGGTAAATCTGTCCCAATACGCAGAAATTCTTATGTTCGGCAATGAGATACAATTTCTGCAAACAATGTAACACCTGGTATAGACTGAAAGTAGCAGAGTATTAATAAGTGCCTTCCACACAGTTTCAGTCGCTGTAATAGTATAACTCAAAATGATAAACAGAGACTAATAGTAGTTAGTCATGCAGCAACAACTGAAAAATCACTAACTAGATCACTGACAGAGATCTAGAGTGTTTAGATATTCCCCTCAGGGATCAGCAGGATAACGCAGACACCCATTTTGTAAATAAAAGATCCAAATTTATTAATTGAATAACGGATAAAATAAACTCACAGTTAGCAAGAAGTATAAAAAAAGAGAGTTCTGAGTCCTTAAGGATAAACAGAATCAGGGTAAGCTGTTTCTCTCTTCACCTCTGGCCGGTCAAGAGGTAGAAGGATGTGGAAATGCTGGGATTGAAGTCTGTGCTTTCGCGTGCGTTCCACTTACTGCCCGATCTGCGTTCCATTAAGTCTCGGTAGGGGTGCGTACATGCGGCTCCTGCCGTAAAATGCCTTACGCGTTTCATGACTGAATAGTGTCACTTCATCAGAGGCTTGTAATATGTGTGTACTGGGGTTACATTGTGTGTTTATCAAGGAGCTGTAGTGTTTAGAGGAACATATAGTATGATATGAAGAAAATTTAGTAAGAGCAAAGTCAGTTGAGGTGTGCTGAAACTGACGTGAAGTTAGACCTGTAAAAGAGGGCCCACCTAGGTGATATGAGAATAATAAAGGGTGCGGTGGGAGGGGAACATCCGAGATCGATGACGACAGGTAAACAGGGGCTCACTGGGTTTAAATAGGAATAATAGTCCCTCCCACAATTACAGGCCAAGCCTTCCATTTGTGTACGGCACATTTAGAGAAACGTATAGTATACTATGAAGAAAATTTAGTAAGAGCAAAGTCAGTGGAGGTGTGCCGAAACTGACGTGAGGTTAGACCTGTAAAAGAGGGAAAAAATATAAGAAACGATTCTTTGTCCAACATATTTATTAAAGCAATACATTATTTAGAAATTTCACGGAAAGCTAATCTTATTTCTATCTCTGGATTAGGGACGTATCTGTTGTATGTGGGTGATTTCCACCGTCCCTTATTTTTAATGATATGTGTTGGTACGTGATTACCGGAGGCTGCTGTGGCCGCTTCAATACGGAATGAATGGCCAGAGAATGAATGTGGGTTGTGTCCCAGCATTGAGTAACAATGTGCGTATGTATAGCATGAACTGTTTGGTGGTTAGGTGTTTCCCTTGAATGGCTAGTAGTGGGGACTCAGGGTTGGTAGTAAGCTGAGTTTCCACTAGTTTATCCAGAATGTGAATTGGACACCACTTGGTAGAAGTAGGATAATATTTAATCTCTACTGGTGGGTGTCTCGTGTTGGTGTGAGTGATTGACAGAATATCGTGGTCCTGTGTTTTAGTTAGGTGTTTTTGCTGAAGGCATGACTTAAAGTCAGATGCCTTCTACACAGAAAATTCTTTAGGTCTCAAGAAACCGTAGAAAGCTATGTAGGCTGCGGATTTGATTATGAGGTTAGTGATCGTCTCAAAGGGGGACTTGTCTAGCAAATCGTAGATGTTTCTAAACAGTATACTATCTATAGGAAGTCTCTTAATGGGATTATGAACTGTTAGTCTCTGAATACCTTAAAGGACTGACTGGGTAGGATGCTAGAAATTGAGTTTTGTTGGGATAAATAGTTAACATGTAGTGTTGTATGCCTGTTAAGTAGAGTTTGATTGTATTGTATGCTAATTTAAGAGACACGTGGCAAAAAGTTGTAAATGCGACCATGGTTTCTATGGAAAAAACATTTATTACATAGTAATCACGTACAAATCTTTTAAACAAATCATATGCTCTAGAATAAGCTTTATTTGTATTAAGTGATAAACCTGCCTGTGCGAGCGACCTACTATGGCGTAGCAGGGTATTTAAAGCATTATTAGGTCTGTGAAGTTTGGAGGTTCCCTGGGTTGCAAGTTTGCTGATGGATGAACTCTGAAAAATTCATGCAAATTAGAGTGTGAGAGTGCGTCAGCTGCGTTATTCTGAATACCTGCAACGTGAATACAATTTATACAGAATTGTAGATTTGCCGCTAGCCAGGTAAGTCTCCTTACCAACTTCATAATAGTAAGGGACTAAGAGCGGCCTTTGTTGATGATGTTACATGCTGCCAAGTTATCTGAAAAGCACCTGACTGATTGCCCTCTCCATTCTTTACCCCATATGTGTGCAGCAGCTACGATTGGAAAGATTTCAAATAATGCTGAGGTGGTATTGAAATTCTCTAGTGAGGTGGTCTCTAGTGGCCAAGAGTCGTATACCTAGTCGTTACCAAATATTGCTGCATAACCTACGGCACCTGATGCGTCAGTCCAAATTACCGGGGAATCGTCAGAAATGGGGGGAACGAATAGTGACCTGCCATTCCAAGAGGACAGAAATAGATGCCACATTTTTAGATCTGCTCTAGCTGGTTCGTCTATGAAAGCTTTGGAATCGTCGTCAGGGAGACTGTCTAAGAGAGAGAGAACTCTGTAAATAAATGACCTCCCCTGTGGAATTATCCTCATTGTGAAATTAAGTGACCCAAGTAGTGACTGTAACTGCTCTGGTGCAAGAGCCTTGTGAGGTGCAGATGTTGATGTATGAAAGAATTCTGTCTACTTTCTCTTGGGGCAGGCTAGCTTGCATAGAAAAGGAATTGGGGAAATTGTCTAAATAGTGAATGACTATTGGACATCTGGACTTGTTAAGTAGGAGCCAGGTAAAAGTTTCGGCAAAGATTTCAAATATCTTGGGGCTACTTTTGGAGCCCAAAGTTAGTCTGGTAGCGAAATAATACCTGTCTTCCCACTTAACTCCATGCTGAAGAGCATATAGCACAAGAAGGTGTTTTGAGACCCGCAAAATGCCTTAGAAACAGTTCGGTGTCTAACTGTCCCCAGTTGGTATTTGTATTATATTGGGTCAGTAATGCGGCTGATCTGGATGCGAACGATTTGTGATAGTCGTAAAAAGCATAGCATAGCCTCCGTACTTATATGCCAAGTCAATGCTTTTATGTAGGTATAAGTCAAGCTCTTCTCTACGGAGGGGAAAAGTCGTACAAATTATGTCTCTGTACTGTAGGACAAATTCAGGGATGTTAAGTTTCCTGTTTAGTCTTGGGTCTCTTGACTTCATGACTACTGACAGGTCATCAAACGTATATGACCTGTTCTCAATTACGTCTTTAGAAGCTATAAGTAGTGAAGCCAGGTTAATGTCTTTACCCTCTATTATGTCACGCTTAAGATTTTGTGGTATTAGGTGAATAGGGTTTATGATATTGGTAGTTTTAGCGGGTAAAGGGATATTGTTACCTCCTGGGTTAGGCTCTGGCTGGGCTATAGGTACTGGAACCTCTGGAATGGTAGGTGTATTATTTGACTCCAGATTATCCAACCTATTATTTTATAGTGGCTACAGAAGACACTAGGGAGGCCATCATAATGTGCAGTTCTGACAGGCTGTTTTGAACATTAAACTCAGAACTAGGGCCAGGCCTTTCATTGTCCTCGTTAGTATTTAACAAGCAAAAAATTTCCACTTTCCTGGCTGTGGTCAGGAAGGGGATATTTCTCTTTTTGAGTTCCATGGTGATTTATGGAATTGTCCAGGATCTATAGCTGGATGCTGGGCTTGCCGGTATGGTTTGCCTTCTCTGAGAGCCTGATCTGGTCGGGGTGCTGGTAACCAACAGGTTATCTACTTCTATGGAATCATTAGACATGCTAAGGGTGTGAGGCAGATAGCTTGGTTACTATGGTATTCGTGTAGATCTGCAGTAACCCAGAATTAATAGATTAGTGCTCTAAGGCGAAATTGTATTAAATTACTATCTTAGGTGACAGGTGACACCCTAACTACTTGCCAAGTGGCTTTGAAAGGCTCTACCTATGATTTGGCTAGTGGGGCCTTTGTGCCACTGAGGTGGGTGGCAGGGTGTTGGCCTCTCTGTGACATGTATAAGATTGAATTATCAACTGGCTGTGATGAGTGAGGTCCTAACTATGACTTGATGCAAGGCTATAACTATGCGTTGGGCCAATTAGGCTTAAACTTCTGATGGAAGGAATGATTGTTGGCCTTGCAGGACCATTTAACTATAGGCAAAGAGGCCTATGGGATTATACCTAATTGGTGAGGGTTTATTATAACCTTACGAACAACCTAACTGGGTTTTATTTATTTAAACATACCTGCTGTTGTCTTGTATGATGTTATTCGGTAGTGATAAGAATGACCCCTACTTGATCCTAAAATATGTCATAATAATAGAGTTATTACCTAATCCCCAGGAGATGACCATTGAAATGACAGGGCTAGGCATAAGAGTAGATACTAACCATATATAAATTGAAATAGTAGGAAGATTTTTGCTTGTCCTGGCAGGGCGATAACTTATTTAATTTATAGTTCTGGTTACCAGAAAGGAATACATGGAAAATACTAGCAGGTAGGTAATTTAGAGGCCTACCTCTTTAAATAATGTAGTTGTATTTAACCAAGAAGGCACCGCTGCAACCAATGTCAGTAATTGAATAATCTTAAACAGGAAGAAAAAACAAAACGTCCTAATTGATATATTATTTATATGCAAGGCATTGTAAGGAACAAATTAAACTTGTATAACATAAATGCATTAGGGGAGCATGACCGTAAAATAGTAGCAATGTATAAAATATAACTGGAGCGTAAAAATAGTCTCCCATTATCCTATTTAACATACTTAAATTACATAGTAAATACATTAGCTATGGCTTTAAGGAAAAAAAAAGTCTGCAGGGTTTAGCTGAATGGGTATAATAAAGTACTTCAGAGATTTGTATAAACGTAAAAGCGATTAGCTTATTTGCAGTCTGTTTAGGGATATTGTGCAGTTCATTTAGTTCAACGTGAATTATGATGTAAAATTTGAACTTTTACGGCCGGATAGCGGTCCTTAAAATGAACGTTCTCCCGAGAGCGCTATACTTATTCCAGACTATACCGATGGCGCCGCCGGCAAAATTCTTCTCAACTCTGAAATCAGAAGTGATCAGGTATGTATGGAGGGGAGAAAGATCCAGGATACGCCATGAAATACTGTGCATGCCCAGACATAGGGGGTGTTTAGCCCTACCCGATTTTAAAAAATACCACCAAGCAGCGACGCTACAACGGATTCTGGAGTGGCACGAATTAGAGACGACCAAACAATGGGTGATCCTAGATCAAGAAGGAGACAGTGCAAAACTGAAGACTGCAATTTGGAAAAGGCGGGCAACGAGAGGCAACAGAAGAGGGGACGATGACCCAGTTACACAAACACTCCTCACATGGGAACAACTCAGGGAAACACCACAAATCTCCCCAACTCCCTGCCCATTGCTACCGATCGCTCATAACCCCAGTATAGGAGGCGGCCTACCACCAGATGCCTGGTCATTCTTGGGTGAAGCAGGATACATCCCAATACATAAGGTCATTCGGGATGGCGCCCTGTGGACTCTGGACGCGCTACTGGAATCAAGACCGCGCTCACATATGGCGGTTTTTCCATACATGCAACTGAAACATTATTTCAACACACTCCCGCACAAAGAAAAGCTGCAAAGAGACCTCACATGGTACGAGCAACTCTGCTCCAGGGGCACGTCATTAGGGAAAGCAATCTCGAACCTCTACCAATACATACTGACCAGTCCCACCTCGGAAAACAACCTCTTCAAACAACACTGGGAACGAGCCATGGCTAAGTCCTTCACAACAGCACAATGGGACAAGGCCTTGCTCTGGCAGCACAAAAGCTCCTCCAGCTCTCACTATCAAGAGGTGAACTACAAGTTGCTTTCTATGTGGTATCGAACACCTGTACTGTTACATAGGATCTTCCCCACTACGCCACCAACGTGTTGGAGATGCCAGGAGGATAGGGGGAACATGCACCACATATGGTGGGAATGTAAACACATTGCCCCATACTGGGACCGGATCAAATCAGACATTCAACTGATCCTGGGAGATGACCTTGAATGGTCAGAGGAACTAGCCTTGCTACACATATCCAAGCGACCACTATCCACATACAAAAAATCTATCATGCGTCACCTATTGAATGCGGCCAAATCGCTCGTACCGGTATACTGGAAGAAACCAGACATCCCGACAAGGGAGGAATGGATCCACCGGGTTGAGGACATCAGGGCAGCGGAAGCTCTGAAGGCGGAGATATGGGCAGGGAAGCTCAACACGCTGAAGCCTGGGCACCATGGTATACATACCGCTCTCAACCTTAGGGGGTTCCGGGGGGGGGACTGGGGCAGGGAGACGATATGGAGCTCACTAGACCCATGC